GAGAGTGATTACATATGGAGAGTAGTTGCGTAAGGGGAGTGACTCCGTAAGCAACTACTCTCCATATGCAACTACCCTCCATATGCAATTACTCTCCGTATGTAGCTATTATCTGTACGCAGTTATTCTCCTCACATAAATGGTTGTGCATGTCTGCAGAGACTATAGTGATATAGATTGAATTGTTGCGGAGTGTTTTGGGCACCACACTATTTGCCGGTCGCCCCATCTAACTTCACATACAAAGGCACATATTGTGTTGTTCTAGCATATCCTATGGTATAAGGTATGACCACCAACTGCTCTTTCCAGTCCATGGCTGAAACTCCTGCTCAAAAAGTTCTACACCACATTTGATGTTCTCCCTCACCAGTTGCAACATTTGATCCCGCACAGGACGACGAGCAGATACTGGAAACGTGTTTAGCACTGGATAGATCCAATAGGTCGCGGGCCAAGGTTACCTGCTACGAGCATGCTGCCTTTCTGCTTTTTCATCTCTGTCGACATCTGCTGCTCCCAGTTCGGCTCTCCACCATGGACTTCGATCAGGTCATGATATCCGAAACGTTGCAGACCTCCTTTTAATGATGAGTTTAAGGCATCGTAGATTGTGACACTGAGTAACTACAACTGTATCAGCAAGGCCCTTGCTCGAGATAGAAGCAAAAATACTGACATATCCCTCGTCCTCCTTTACTAGTACTTGTAACCAGTCGTGGACACTCTCCCAGTCTCCTTCGTGTTCTAACTGCCATACAAGAGAGATCCTTTGAGTTCGAATTCGCGCCTGGCGATATTGCTTTAAGAGTTCCTTGATGTAGGGGAGCTGTGCGGCAATTCCGATGCCGGTAGCTACCATGAAAACATGGCCATAGTTTCCCATATGGCCGCAAAGGCCATATGAGCTGATAGATGCTGGACCAAACGGACCGTCAATCCATACAGTATATTCTCGTTCTTGCTCAAGACGATCGAGAATCTTTCGGGTAAAGCCTGAACGTGGCCGGAAAAGAAGTGAGACAGAAACTGCTTTTTCGGTGCCATCGTCTTCCCACCAGCAAATTGCAAAAGGGTGCGACTGCACCAGATAGAATAGCCCGATCGAAGGGGCGCTGAGTACAACACGCTCCCCAGCTCGCACACCCCATGGCCGAGGAAGGGTTAACGTCAAGCGCGCAATGCTTTCCCCATACGTATGCAATCTGAGCTTTGTGCATTTTCTCCCAATAACCAGGTTCCGAAAGAGTATACGGATTAGTTGTGCTCCGAACGACACAATGAAGACAATGGCACACCCCCGAAGATACACCCAGGCATCAGTGCTTTGCATGGTATGAGTGTGCTGCCAAATGGCATAAAGCGCCACTATTGCGCATCCTTGGTGTGTCCTTAAAAAAACCTCGTATACTCTTTTCCTGACTAAGGGTAAGATAACAAGGGAAAGAAACATGCTTGCTGCCTATTGCGGCGGCGTTTGTCAGTTCTGCTTGGACATATATGAAGAATAGGGAGACTATACCAAGATACCATAGAATTGCAAGTTATCCGATGCTGAAATTGATCTCGTCTTCGCAATGATCACAACGTGGATAGTAGCTTGAATAACAGTGACAAAGCCAACAGTCCGATGAAAGGCTCCATACGTACCAAGTGACACGCCGAGAAGGCGTGCGCCAAACTCGTTGCCCCCAGAGAAGAACAAAGACATGAGGTTAATCAATGACAGGCGAGCTGCCCGTGACCCTGCTTCTGGCAGAGATTGGACGCCCACAACATTGCAGACACCTGTCCCAACTAGGTATGCTGTTGTGAGAACTAGACGCTGAAGTGACGGCATTCTAAACATATTTCGAAAAGGTATTTGGTACATCAGCCTTCTTAGATGAGAGTATCGACACCTCGAAAACATGGTATACAATCCACTTAGGATGTTGTAGAATACCAGAATTCCAAACAAACTGGCAAATACAACGGCGTAAACCTTGTCGACAGAGTGTATAAACTGACTAAAATTTTCAATAACCATATTGTGAATTATGTTTAGAAACCACTGGTAACCATATGCATTGTATAGGACGAAGGGCGTCTGCGTCACTATCGACCAGTTATATACGCCCTCGGAAGGTTATGGCCAAGCTGCAGTCCCTAAGGGGTCCGCAAAATAGTGGGGCTAATTTCCGCGAGGCTTGTTTTTGCCATGTGCACGAGGACAATTAAATATTTCCACTGAAGACAAGGACTCGCATTGTCGCATCTACTAACTCAGCAGATGGAGAAGATCGACATGACACTCATCCAATTTGGGTTGATCCAGAGGATAATTATTGTATACTGGGGTATCAACATTTCTATGGCCTTCTAAAATAGGCGTAGTATTACAGATAGTAGAGTGTATTGAGATATAAATACTAGGGTGTTGGCGGTGGAGGGCTAATGCATCGCTTCGATAGAACCGATGGGGAAATTCCACGACGTCGAGAGAGAAAACCAGCTTAGTAATTCCTAGGTATAGAACAATAGAAGCCAGAACCAAGGGAGGACCAGCTGTGCACGGACAGCTCCCACTTTACTGTCCCATTTTTGGAGGACCTGAAATAGCCCTTAGAGAAGATATTTCTCTTTAACTGAGTCTATGTCTATAACACGGTGTAACCCCATCTCATCCAACACTAAGCGCTCTTTTTGAAGTGAGCTTTGTTAAGATGTAATCAGAAAATTCATTATATTTGTCACGGCTGAGTCTTTTTTCTGGCCAGTAAGCTTTCCAAGATGTTTGATTCTCGACAAGTAGCTAGATCAATGATTGTGTTCCTCCAGTAGGCAATAATGCCAGAGGCAAAAACCATCTTAACCCTTCTATATTGCATGTTCGGTGCCAGTAATAAGGACTCTTTCCTAAATCAATTCACTATTCTATACTCCAAGTTGTCGAGATCCCGTCGAATAGCTCCTTGTACTGGTAGCAGCCGCCTGCCTTCTCATTAATCGTAAGCCTGCGCAAGGTTCCCAACCTTCGAATAGTCGCTAACCTATCCACAATTGTTTCTATGGTTCCTGAACATAAACTAATCCCCCATTCATGAACAGTTTCCGTAGGCAACCATGTATCCTCAAGGTGCAAAGAGTGGAGTGTTCCTGAGTGTACGTGGAAGAATTCCTCAAGATCTTTGACTGATAGCCAACATTTCGCTAGTTCAAGACGACGAACAGAAGGAAGGCTAACTTGCCACATAAAATTCAAAAGCCTGGAACTATCAACAAGTCGCAGGTCTTCAACATTATGCAGTGCTTCCATAACCTTTCTAAGGAGACTTGTGCCTGGCATAGAAATCTTCGAATAAAATCCAGAGACTTTGAATTTCCGCACTATAATCCCATTGCGCCTTGCTGCTACCATGGCATCAATAACCGTCTCAAAGTGGACAGGATAGGAATCTCTCCAACCAACGAATAGGCGGCTTGAGAGCCAGCAAAACGGCTTTTTAGTGCTATCAATAAAGGTTAACTCGATACTTTGCAGATGCAAGAAGCGAGGAATGCATTTAACCAATGTGATAGAATCTATACGTTCCATTAAGATAGTCTGCTGTTCGCGGGCTAGCTCAGCAAAGTATGAGTATATCATGTTGTATGAGACTCTTCTGCCGTGGAAGTTCCAACAGAGCTCTCTCTGATCTCTGTTATACTCTGATGGTGTGTAAACGCAGGAGCGAAAATAATCCCATGCTTCGATATCTATCTAGAGATTAGCATGATATGAATACTTTGCGGGTGAATTGAAAACCAACGAGGGTCTATGAGCTCCGGGGCTTCGTAACGGATGGCCTTCACATGCTGAGCAATGTAGGATTTGGATAGTTCACGTAGACGTTTGAACTTAGCTACCGAGAAAGTGATATTGATTGTGTGAAACAAATAGGGAGCACAATGAGTCCGAATCCTCCAATTAGACTGTGAAAGATTTCCTAAGCTTCCGTGGAGCTGAGCGTAGTCTATAATAAAACATAATAATTCAGTCGGTAATTCTGCAAGTGACATTGTGGGCATTATTCAAAGAAGCTAAAATAGGAATGCGATTGGTCAGACGGCTGGGTTCCGTGGCAGGTATGAAAGTCTTTTCTATTCCGTGGTGGAAGTCTGGCTAGAACAGCCTGCACACTTTGGTGTCGCAGACGACCCAGCCTTTTCCGCGTCCGTTACCCCTACATTGTTCTGCTACGTGGGTTTCACATTACCATTGGGGATCACGTCTTGGTCTCCACTAGCGGTTACATCCTGCGGACCGAAATTGGCTCGCAGCGGCTTGAACCCCACATTTGTTCCATTCCTCCATAGAGTGGCTCCAAAAAGGCCTCGGTTTATGACATAGCTCATAGTGTGAACATATGTACTTACTAAATGATCTGAGCGGGTATAGCAATGAACTAAACGTCTACCAAAGTATTTCATAACCTTAAACTCTCGATAAACCCCTGCGAATGACATCTTGATCCATTACGCACTGAAAGCAAGCTTCATGATTACTGAACGATGGACTCGAGTCAACCAGCCTTGCCGGAGCCATCTTTATTGGAGATATTTCGGTTCCAGTGCCCTAATGTCTACTTCAAGAGTTCACCCAGTGATATGCCTATCGGGGGGATAAATGTCATTGAATCTGCGAATGACCTTATTGATAGCCGAGCGCCTGGCTTCCTTCGAATTTCCCTCCCAAGCTGGGAAAACTATGGCCTTTTCTCCAATTCACCCTTGCCATATGGATCTGAGGGAAAGCCCCGAAATGAGTACGATACTCTGTATCCTCTGGCTCATTTGCGTATGGCCCAGGAAGTTTACTTACGTCTTTTTCAAATTGTTCAATATCTTCATGTTATCAGGCGTATGCATCTGCTGAAGCTTGAAAGAGTGCGAGGTCAAAGAATCTCTCAGAAGCGAGGTCAACGCGTTGATGGCCTTGCCATCAACCTTACGCTGGCCGAAATGTACAGTGATTGGGAGACAGTCGAAGAGGAGTTACGTTCTGTGAGAAAACTACAGTTTCGAAAAGAAAACAGGCTGGCTAGAAGATGGCTATTGGTGGCGACTCGGCTCTCCTTTGGCGCGCTTCTGATCTGTTCCAAGAAGCTCGAACGAGAAATGTATGTGTACATACGCCTCAGCATCCTAACATTACGCCCACGCACTTACTCATTCACCTTGCAGAAACAACAATCATACTAAAGAAAGCCAACTCATCGCTCGGGCTACGAACATTGCCAATGATTTTCCGGATATTGTTGAAACTTACCAGCATCTTAACCTGACGGCAATGTGTTTGTTAAACCAGAGGCCGATATCGCATACGACTAACATTGACTTAATCGTCAACCGGGTAGATGCGCACCTTAAAACAGCAGGATCAGCGGAAACCACCCCTGTGGAGTTCCCATTTTCCACATACCCCGAGGAGGAAAGCAATAGCGAATCGCCACTTAGCAACGCTGCTAGCAACCCTTGAGCCTCGCAACATGATTGTCTGGGTGACAAGAGAACGGAGGAGTTTAGAACAACTGAAGAAAGTAGATTGTATACGAGATGGTCATTACAGATAGCTGTGAATGTCTCAATATCAGAAGTATCCATTACAAAAGAGAACTATGGAATAATGCTTGTTTTTTAAAGAATATTCCAGTACACAAGCAAGAAAGCCAGGTAACTGTTATTTACGTGAGATTTGTCATTACCAATTAACAAGGAGCAATTGATTACAGGTTGAGTTTCATTCTGTTTGTGACTGACTTAGGTCAAATTCAAATATCCATCATTAGTGCACATTTTCTAGAAGCAGGCCAGCTATTCAAAAGATTCAATTTTTGCTTCGCAAACAAGAAGGCATGCCTGTTTGATACGGATCTCTTCAATCATAGGCCTATCGCAGTGATATACTACTATCGATGATTGGTTGTTCGTGTTACTACGATCCGCTTCTGCGTTAGTTGCGGATAAAGCCATCTTCAACATGTACTTTGAGTGGCGACCACCCATTTTAGATAACGTTTCCCTTTCTAGCATAATAAAGATTAATGTGAGTATGGGTATTCAACTAAATATACTCGAGTATTTCAGAAATGGTAGCACATATCCGATTCATTCAAACAGTTCTTCCACGCTAGGAAATTGGAGTTATAAGGGCCAAAGGGTAAGACTCGCTATGTTATGGGGTAAGTGTCCTAGATAAGGGATGAGGTATAATAAGCGTAAACCCAACATTCATGTTGCAGATTAACTTTCCTTCAGCTGTATTCTGTGCAACAAACTACTGGTATTATCACTAAGAGCAGGACGAAACAAAACAACATGACCCTATCTCCACACGTGTTTTTTTTTTTTTTTTTCTTTTCCTGCTTCGCCCTATTTTTTGGGCGGGTTTATACAATAGCATCGAGAACATAATGACCAAACAAGAGCACCACAACAAAATAGCGATCAAATCAGTGATAAAAACCTCTTTCATCTACAACTGTTCATATTAAACAGCCTTAGTAGTATGTACTCACGTTATGGTTCCAATTACCATCAGTCCAGTAATTCCAGGGTTCTTGCGAATAGGCTTTTCCTCGACGCCTGCTTCGTCGGAGCGGTCTAATCGGGGGTTTGCTTGAAACAGTAGAGGCACGGTCGTCGAACCCAGCGTTGTACATATTGTGTGATGGGGGGTAACCGTTGCGAATTGCAGGTTGGCTGTGGACCTGTTTGGTTTGTTGCCATGGCTGATTCATGGTCAGTTGCTCTACCTGCTCTCTCAACCTGCGGATTTCACGATCCCGATCGTCCTCATATATAACCGGCGGCCGCGCTTTCGCACCACGCGAGGTCGTCGTAGATCGGAGGCTGCTCTTTTTTGAGGCCCTGGTCATCGCCGTGTGTCCAGAGGACTCGCTAGCTTCATCGGCATCATCTTCAAATCGAACATTGCTCTTGCCAGATTTATGTGAGCGAGCCAAGCTAACAACGCTGCGAGGGGGCGATTTTCCACGAACAGGAGTGCCTTGTTCTACTTCCTCTCCTTCTAAAGCTTCGTCGTCCTCATTATTTCCCCAGTCGGCAGCTTTGTTGTCTTCTCGGTATGCCTCCTCCAGCTCCTTAGCCTTCTGAAATACCAGACGATCTCCATCCAGGCTCGATCCATTCGCAATACGTCGGACAAATGCTCGAGTTTCTAGGGTTGTCTCTCCATCCTTCCATTCCACCAAAACCCTGGTTTCTGGATAGACACTACCAGGTTCTGGAACCATCAATTCCAGAGGATCTATGCCATTTTCGTCGTCGTCATCTTCAACTTTCCACCCCACACCGAGTATGTTGGAGACGTCCCTTCGGCCATACTTCCAGGTCTCGCCTGGTATACCGTCAATAACCTCCGGCTTTTTCATATAACCGCGATTTTGACTGGATAAAACACGTGTCACCCGTTTTTTGTCGTAATATTCGTGGGATCCAGCTCTGACCCGAAAGATGGGTTTTGACTTGCTGCCATACCTGACGAAGATTTGAGTTCCCGTCCCCTTCGACCACCAGAACAAGACCTTCGCACCGGTAAGTGAACGTTCCTCTTTCCGAGCTCTTGCCTCTAGCAGGTCAATTGCCGAGGGTGCATAGTCGTCATCGCTTTGCTCTTCAACCTCACTACTAGATTCTGAGCTTTCATCTCCACCACTCTCGAGATCGGAATCTTCTCCTTCAGGGGTCGGAGCTACAGGTACTTCTGACGATGGTCGTTGCCCGAAAGCCTGTTCTGCGGCGGAGGCGGATATATTCCACCCAAGCGGTAGGTTATACTCCCGGTTGAAGTTGTCCAACGCTTGGTAAACTTTGTCGTATGCTTTCCATGCCTCGCTAGGATTATTTTGCACCTCAGGTTTTGCAAGTTCCATTTTCCAGGATTGGTACATTGCTTCATATGTGTGTGCTGGAATCTCGCCGGCACGAATGTCTTCTGCTCCATGAACCATATTGGCAGCACGGATATTGTCGTTGAGCTCACGAAAGAAGTCATGCACGTCCTTGAAACTAGGTTCATCTGTCAAGAACAGCTTATTCATCACATCATCGCCACGGTCTTTGGTGAATTTGCGAATGATATCTATTATCCAATCGCCGACTTCAGGTCTGTTCTCCGGTACTAGCGGTGGTGTTGGGGATGGGTCATCCATGTCTTCGTCTTCCTCTTTTTCCAGGTCGTTGCCATCGACTGGCTTATTAACTGGTGGTTCATCTTGTGCATCCGTTGTGTCGTCCTTCTGCCGTCGAGCGGTGTTGCGGCGGGCTTTCTTTTTGTTTTTCTTGCTTGGCATATTCGTTTATTCTTATTTATAACTTGAACAGATGAGGTTACCGAAGGGGTGGAGAATGAACTAAAATGGCCGGAAATAGAAGTCATATATAGCCCGTCTGCAGCCCGAAAAAGTTCCGCGGGTCAGCTATCCCCCGATGAGCATACGTGTGAAGCGGGACTTTTTGGGAATTGTTGAAAGGCATTAGTTCTAGAACAGTAATCCACTGGCACCTTTTGGGTCCGCAACGGGAAATGGGGTCGCAAAGTAAGTAAACGTGGTTTATTCCAAGGCTCACAGGATCACTATAGTCAGGTTATAGTATGATAGAGGTGCTCTCAACAGCTTGATGCGTAGTCAAGGACCATGCAGAAAACAAAACATTCTTTTACCATTCTATGTGTATGCTT